ATAATCAAATGTTAGTGGACACTTTTAAGTAGGATTTTACAATCAGAAACTCAGCTAAATAATGAAAACAGTAAATAAGTGAAGTTTTCTGGTCACATCTGCCATCTGGTGGTGAAACAGCAGAACTGCAGTTGGCCTCTGAAACCCACATTATAACTCAGAACCTGTATRATAAGTTTTCCTTTTTTTAAAGGTCAACACAGGTTTCTCAGTTTTCAACTTGTAAGTCCTTAGTTTCCCTCCCAGTTGTCTTCCTGTCACCATGACACTGAGCTGAAACCTCAGGGGAGCTCAGGAACGCAGGTTTTGTTTGCATCTATTTATAAGTCTGAACACGGTCCTGAGGCGCCTCCTGCCACGTATTCACAGGTCGGCTCTGCTGACGTCACCCAACAACTGCTTTCCAAACYTGGAGGGCGTTATCACTGCAGCTKCAATGTGACAGAACAGCCTGTCATCAGCTGCCGGAGGCACAGGAAGCTCTGTCAGATAAACGGAGCTGCGACATCCAGGACTGTAAACGGTGGAGGGAAAGCTCACTGCAGTGCAACGTTCAGAGGTCCTTCAAACACAATCCCCTGGCTCTGGAGGCTCTGAGGACAAACAAACATCAGGTGTGCAGGAGTTTTCCATGATGGAAAACTCCGACTGTAAACAGTGAAATCAAAGCCTCGGCTTTGATCCCGCAGCTCACACGGGACACGCCTTCACCTCTGCTGTTTTCATTCTGCTCTCATCAGAGCAGCGAGGATTTCACTCTAAAGTTCACGCAGCTATTTGAAGCTGTTGTTGAACTCTGGGCGGGGGTGTCGTGCTGATGGTTTGGTGAATCCTTCGAGGGCAGAGATGCCATTGCTGAAGGGAAACCCTGGAAGAAGAAACTGGAGGCCCCGGCTTGGAAAGATCACGGAGCTGTCGTCAGCTGGCACAAAATGTCAGTTAGCAAGCTGCTGTTATTGTCCATTTCATTTGGACAGGTGGTGTCAAACCACCAGCCCCCCCGGGTGTTAAATCTGGATCAAAGATGGATAGTTTACCATGTTTTGTCAGAATAAAGGAGCAGAGTGACGTTAAAAATACGCCTTTACTGTCTCTGAATGCAGCCAGTTCAACCTTCTGGCCCGGAAACATTCGAGGTCAAAGTCCGAGTTCAGAAACAAAATCTGAACCGAAGTTTCCAATCAGGTCTCAGGTTCCCTCTCTTCCTGTGCAAACAGTCCTCAGGTGTCAGAGGATCACCTGCTTTCTGTTGTCTTCTGCTGTACTCCCACTCCACATTTAGCTTCACATGGTATGAGGGCCAAAATTATTGATCTGTTTAATGACAGGCCTGAACCGCTAACTGAGAGGCCAGTCTCATCCTCTGTTTCATTTTCTGTCTCATCACCTGTATCATTACCTGTCTCATCTTCTTTCTTATCACCTGTCTCATCCCGTTTCATCATCTGTCTAATTTTCTGTCTCATCACCTGTCTCACTTTCTGTATCATCACCTGTCTCCTCACCTGTCTCAATACCTGTCTCCTCACCTGTCTCATCTTCTGTCTNTCATCACCTGTCTCCTCACCTGTCTCAATACCTGTCTCCTCACCTGTCTCATCTTCTGTCTCATTACCTGTCTCATTACCTGTCTCCTCACATGTCTCATTACCTGTCTCATCTTCTTTCTTATCACCTGTCTCATCCCGTTTCATCACCTGTCTAATTTTCTGTCTCATCACCTGTCTCACTTTCTGTATCATCACCTGTCTCCTCACCTGTCTCAATACCTGTCTCCTCACCTGTCTCATTTTCTGTCTCATCACCTGTCTCACTTTCTGTATCATCACCTGTCTCCTCACCTGTCTCA